GTACAACGACACCATTAGACACTTTGTGTCCAAAACTGTGAGTGTGTCATACACCACAGTGGACACAATAGATTGGACGTTTTGTACATTATTTGTGGCAAACTGTAAAATTTGAAACTATGAAACATGCAACTAATCCACCAACCTCCTCCACCAAAGCCCGACAAAACGCCATTCAACAATAGATCGCTAGCATTATATTTGTCTTCTCACAACTTGGTAACCGACCTCACACAATTTAGTCACCGGTCTCACACAATTTAGTCAACGGCCTCACACAATTTAGTCAACGGCCTCACACAATTTAGTCACCGGTCTCACACAAGTTAGTCACCGGTCTCACACAACTTAGTCAGCAGCCTCACACAACTGAGTCACCCACCTCACACAATTTAGTCAGCAGCCTCACACAACTGAGTCACCCACCTCACACAATTTAGTCAGCAGCCTCACACAACTTAGTCACCGGCCTCACACAATTTAGTCACCGGTCTCACACAACTTAGTCACCGGCCTCACACAATTTAGTCACCGGTCTCACACAACTTAGTCACCAGCCTCACACAATTTAGTCAACGGCCTTACACAACTTAGTCACTAGCCTCTCACAACGTAGCCCTCTGTGAGTGCCAGAGTTTGAGAAATAAGTCACGAGTCTGGAATGTCTGGCACCACACACCTACTCGTGAGGCCCTCGACAGAGATGAAATTAGCCCTGGATAGTTCTTCACTTTAAACTCTGGAAATATTATTACGCGTCCAATTTTGTGGAAAGTTCTTGTGGCGTTGTGGATGAGCACTCTAGGATCGGCCGCGAGAGAGCAGCCTCGCTTTCACATTGTTTCACGCCCTCAGTCACGTGATGGGTGAGACTATTGACCACATACTTACGTGTACGACAAGAAAATTGCTCCAACACCAAAAGATTTCACAGGGACAGAACTGAGATTTCCCCGGGACAAAATTGCAGCCCAGTCTGCACATTTGAGCACGCGCTGTACCACGTGATCCCGTTATTAGAATGGAATTTGACGAGAGCAGGGGTCGGACCCACCCCGACCCACTCTAACAAGTGTCGACTCAGGCGAGTGTACCATCCATCAGATCTCCACAGCCCGGGGGGGGGGGGGTACCATGGAGATGAGTGCTGGTCTCAAGTATGACGTCATTCATCTTCTGCTCGCTGGGTCTTGTTTCAATTTATTTTGTTATCAATCTGATGTTGGTTAGTGGGAGAAAGTGTTGCCACTCTCGCGACGGGGGGGGGGGGAGGGGGGGGGTGTGAATGTGTCGCCACTAGCTGGGAGAAAGTGTCGCCACTAGCGGGAAAGAAAGTGTCGCCACTAGCGGGGGAGGAAGTGTCGCCACTAGCGGGGGAGGAAGTGTCGCCACTAGCGGGGGAGGAAGTGTCGCCACTAGCGGGGGAGGAAGTGTCGCCACTAGCTGGGGGAGAAAGTGTCGCCACTAGCTGGAGAAAGTGTCGCCACTAGCTGGAGAAAGTGTCGCCACTAGCTGGAGAAAGTGTCGCCACTAGCTGGGGGAGAAAGTGTCGCCACTAGCTGGGGTAGAAAGTGTCGCCACTAGCTGGGGGAGAAAGTGTCGCCACTAGATGGGGGAGAAAGTGTCGCCACTAGCTGGGGGAGAAAGTGTCGCCACTAGCTGGGGGAGGGGGGAAGTGTCGCCACTAGCTGGGGGAGAAAGTGTCGCCACTAGCTGGGGGAGAAAGTGTCGCCACTAGCTGGGGGAGGGGGGAAGTGTCGCCACTAGCTGGGGGAGAAAGTGTCGCCACTAGCTGGGGGAGAAAGTGTCGCCACTAGCTGGGGGAGAAAGTGTCGCCACTAGCTGGGGGAGAAAGTGTCGCCACTAGCTGGGGGAGAAAGTGTCGCCACTAGCTGGGGGAGAAAGTGTCGCCACTAGCTGGGGGAGAAAGTGTCGCCACTAGCTGGGGGAGAAAGTGTCGCCACTAGCTGGGGGAGGGGGGAAGTGTCGCCACTAGCTGGAGGAGAAAGTGTCGCCACTAGCTGGGGGAGAAAGTGTCGCCACTAGCTGGGTGAGGGCGGAAGTGTCGCCACTAGCTGGGGGAGAAAGTGTCGCCACTAGCTGGGGGAGGGGGAAAGTGTCGCCACTAGCTGGGGGAGAAAGTGTCGCCACTAGCTGGGGGAGGGGGGAAGTGTCGCCACTAGCTGGGAGAAAGTGTCGCCACTAGCTGGGAGAAAGTGTCGCCACTAGCTGGGGGAGGAAGAGGCTGGTCCTGGCTAGTAGAAGTTGTTGATTGGAAAAATTTAGTGGGGTCATAGGGTCACAGAAATGTGGTGGGGGGGGGGATTAATGAGAGGGGGTGGCACATATTCACTAGGATTAATTAAATAATTAAAATTAAAGCAACAAGATTAGAGTTGATCAGGGCATACTTGAGAGAAATAATAAGTCGCCAACAAGGAAAACCACCAGATTTTAACATCACCAAACAAACATCAACCATCACACCCACAGTTTAGACATGCGCATTACGACATTCTGTTCAATGGCGATCTATTATTAGACAAAGACACTTCTGGATAAATCGACAAAACTAGAACCTAAGAGCCCCGTGTCAAAGTTAGAACTTCGAACATTTTAGAGGAATTTAGTTCGGACTTTCTGTACCGTACCTGAAGAGTCCCGGCACTAGCTGTGCCCCCCCCCCCCCCTCCCCCTCCCCACCCTCCACTTGTATCATGACTGAAGGTGCCGGCGTTAAGTGCCATATTTGACCTACCACAGCAGCTGTCTGCCCCACAACATCCTCCTCTTGTGGTGCCCGCTGGCCTTAATGAGACAAGTGGCTAACACTAACCCTAACACTAACCCTAACACTAACCCTACCACTAACCCTAACACTAACCCTAACACTAACCCTACCACTAACCCTAACACTAACCCTAACACTAACCCTAACACTAACCCTAACACTAACCCTAACACTAACCCTAACACTAACCCTAACACTAACCCTAACACTAACCCTAACACTACCGACTCTAAACTCGCATCATGCACTTGTAAAAGCCATCATTTCAAGTTAGCCACGTCATGCGAACGGTCTCTGGTGAATGTTTCAAACAATAACGACGTGCCCCGTGAGTTCAGCATTAGGGCGGTTAGTCTATCTATGGGGACTAGACACTTTTGTAATGAGTAAAACGTTTTTTTGTCTTCAAACAACAACCAATGGCATCAGTCCTCTAACTCGCTTGATGGCTGACATGGAATGTTACTCACCCCAAACGGTTGTGGCGGCTTGATGTTTGGAGGGTGAGCAGCTACCGGTGAGTTGTATCGACCTCTTGGGCTCCATGTAACTTGTCATTTATGTCCCATAATAAGTGTCTTGTGATGAATGTCTTGTGATGAGTGTCTTGACGTGTGTGTCTTGCCGTAAGTGTCTTGACGTGTGTCTTACTGTATTGTCTTGTCATGAGTGTCTTGCCAACTGTGTCTTGCCCTATGGGTCTCTCTTTGATGACCGCGGTGAAGAAGAATCAAATCTTAACGACCGGATCATATTGATTCTAGCCCTCTAACCGGAAGTGAAAAGAATGGCCGGAAATAGCGGAATAATGCTGACACAGCACCAAGCGAAACAGGGATGTGTTTGTATGAGTGTGTGTATATATGTGTGTGTGTGTGTTAAATCTACACTTTCTCAGGGTCATATGTGTGTGTATGTGTATGTGTGTGTGTATGTATGTGTGTGTGTGTGTGTGCTTCAGTGAGCTGTAAGTCTACACACCAACATTCTACAGCCTACTCTACACATGCTTGAACACACAAACACACACAGACATCTCTGCCTTGACTCAGTGTACACAAAAAAAATGGAACTTGAAACAATTCACGCGTGAAAGAAAGATTCCGACTCCCGACGAACAAAGAAAGATCACGACTCCCGACGAATAAAGAAAGATCACGACTCCCGACGAATAAAGAAAGATCACGATTCCCGACGAACAAAGAAAGATCACGGCACATCTCTAAGAGTTCAAAAATGTGTCAACAAAATTTTTAATTGACGGAGTAAAAATAATTAGCCTAATCTTCTAAAAGCATGAAACGCGATCTAAAAAACAGACATGCAAATTGCAGACTATACGAAGTGCATTAGGTTTGACAACATAAACATACATGCGCAGCAGACATGCGCATTCTTAGCGTCCGGAATTTCCGGTAGCTTTTAACAACGTGTTGGCGCTAATGTAACGGTTTTATTTCCTCATCTCTGGTGACGTCATGTTTATTTACATCAACTTTGTTTATTTTTCTTCCATTTCAAATGTCAGGGCGGTTTTAGGTTTTTGAATAAAACATTAGGATTTTTGTTGTGGGATAAAATTGTGGGATGGAACAAATCCCATCCGGCAAATGTAGCCAAAGTGTAAGTTATCTAGATTTAGTCTATAGATCTATAAGTGATTTACTTTCTCAGGCCAGTCCAGCACTTATACTAAAAATCTGTTTAAAAACTTTCTAGTCCATGTGACACAATTATGCCTCAAATTTGTAATAGGTGTTGAATTCTATTTAATTTTCTACATTTCTTTTTATTCTTAGATTATTCCATGACTCAATAATACTCTATAGCCTAATTCAAAGTTCTAATATACTATTTTTTTTTTATATAGACATCATTTATTCATACACACAGTTTAAAAAATAATAATATTCACTCCATCTTGCCTAAAGAAAAAAATTACATTAGAACTTTTAAAGACATTAAAGAACAGCAGTGACTTACTGCATTAAAAAAATGTCAAACGAATTTAATTAGTACCTTTTGCAAATTTAGACTGCACAGCTATTTGTAGGACCTACTGATGAACCGTTAATTATTCTAAAATTGTAAAACAGATATCCAAAGACAATCTAAATAAAAATAATTATTAACTTTACTTTGAGTGACAAGATATGATGAGTCTTACTGAAAAAAATATTCACAGGTGAAAATTACAATTTATTTCAAATTAATAAGCTACAAAATCCAATGGTCGATTGAAGCCTCCTCTTCTGTTCATGTATTGCCTGTAACTTCTCTTTCTTTGTAAATTCACAGCTGAAACATCATTGCCAACAACTTGTTTTCCCTTAGTAGAATCAAATGTAGACAAGCCCATAAGTTTCATCATGTTTAACTGCTCTTCACCAAGCCCATCAAGTTGACTGTTGTCGACAGAAAATTTCTATTGTTTATTACTTTAGGATCAATTTTTTCTGGATCTATATCTTTAATTTTTTTAGGAGGGGTTGTTGACCTTTTCCGAGGAGAAATGGATCTAGACCTGTGTCTTGGTGGAGGTGAAGGCCTTTGTCTTGGTGATCGTGATCTACTTCTCTTCTTTTGGTGCCGCCTTTCTCTAGAACGAGACCTTGATCTTCTCCTATCTCGTTTACTAGGCGGTGATCTGCTTCGGCTTCTAGGCATCTTGGAAGTTTACAAATGTATTATTAGAATCAAGTCTACAACTAAAATCTGTTTTGATGAATTCTGTTATGATTGGTACAAAGTTCTGATGAAGAAAATACAGAGGCAGCTGATCTAGAATTTCTAGATCTAAATATCTTATCAACACATTCGTAAACTTAAAGTTCTAATATCCTATATTTATCTTTTTTTTTTTTTTTTTATCTGTTAATTCTTTTGCTTGTGAAATGCAAGCATTTTGTAAAAAAAACACCAATTCATTGCCTATGTCCAATATTCGTATAGTGTTAACCTTTTTAGGTAAACTTAGAGTGATGTTTAGAAAACTCAATATTATCAAAATGTATCATTTTTAAATAAAGTTTTTTTTTCCACTAAACGTTTATTGTAACGTAAAGTGCAAAGAACAAAATAAAAATAAATTTATTATCCTTCACAAAATTTGTAATTGTATCTTTTAAAGGTTTTAAAATTACTTCCCTTTACGCGCTAGATGATTTCCAAAAATTGAAATTTAAACAGAAAAAAAATCTATATTGTTTATTTATTTTTGTTCATTGTCCTGTTTCTGTTTGTATATGTTTTTATAATATTTATATGATTGTGTTTTTCGGCGTAGAAGTGCGGGGACGGGGAAAGGTTTGTGTTCGTGTTGAGAATCAGGTTGAGGTTTAGTTTTGTGTGTGACAAATCTGATGGTCATGTGTATGACAAATCTGAGCCACTCCATTTGTTAGGACAGGCGACAGAATTCCGAACAGCCTTGAACTCTGTAACCTGCTGAGGACAGCCTTGAACTCTGTAATCTTGTCAAGACAGCTTTGAACTCTGTAACCTGCTGAGGACAGCCTTGAACTCTGTAACCTGCTCAGGACAGCCTTGAACTCTGTAACCTGCTGAGGACAGCCTTGAACTCTGTAATCTTGTCAGGACAGCCTTGAACTCTGTAACCTGTTCAGGACAGCCTTGAACTCTGTAACCTGTTCAGGACAGCCTTGAACTCTGTAACCTTCTGATAAAACTCACGCGAACATGGTAAAACTTTGTAGCCTTGACCTATTGGTTCATAACGAATGAATCTTTTGTTTACCCTACAAACGTTTCATCTCCTATTACAAGGCGTAGAACTAATTATAATTAATTAATGCACAATTTATTTTTCCTGTGTTGTTTGTAAGTCTGACGACGCGATGGTCTCTTAGTGCAGCAGATCATGGTCTTGTCGGATGCCGGTCGCCGGATGCCGGATGCCGGACCAGAAAACACCAGCACACCCTGACTGTAACAATGAACGAGTCATTACCATCCAATTAGACCACGTGCCGAAAACGTCGCCGCTTAATTAACCCGTACATAAAATTCCACAACATAAACCCCCACCCCGTACAGATGAATGTCCAGACCCCCCCCCCGCCCCTCTCCCTAGTGTTGATAGTGCCACAGGTTGGGGCATGGCTTGTTCACCAGTTCCGGCCCGTCTTTGATCTGCAGGCAGAAAAATAAAAGCATAAAACGTGAAGAGTGATTGGGGCTAAAGCTGGGATTTGTTGGCGATGTGAAGCTTCCGGTTAGGGAGGGGGGGGGGGGGAGGGGGAGTTATGCCACGGCTTGGCACCGCTCTAAGACAAACACGGGCCGCTGGATGGGGGAGGGGGGGGGGACGGGACGGGTCAATTCTGTCGGAGAGATACCTGAGGTTTCAGGCTGACATTTTGTTACCTGGATCTAGGTGTTCTGTCAGGTGGCGGTCCTGATTGCTGGGGAGGGGGGGGGGGGTGAATGTGAGGGAGGGATTAGGGGGATGGGGTGGTGGTCTAATTCTATTTCATAAAAGAAAAACAAAACATTACATAATTGAAAACTGTGTTTAAAAACTTTTTAAAATGTGTTTAAAACTGTGTTTAAAAATCCCAAAAAATAATATCCGATGGTCGCAGATTGTAAATTATCTTTTCCAACATGGCGGTCCGTGGGTCAAAACGAACTCAAGATTTCCCGGTTAGCGTCCCACTTGTAGATTGTTAAAACATTACAACATAACACAGCAGCACGTCTGTGTGTACAGCACAATAGCAACAACACGTAGATATAAATCAACATACCTCACACCAGCCACACATACCAGCCACACACACCAGCCACACACCAGCCACACGCCAACACATCACACACCAGTCACACGCCAACACATCACACACCAGCCACAAGCCAACACATCACACACCAGTCACACACAACACACACCACACACCAGCCACACGCCAACACATCACACACCAGTCACACACAACACACACCACACACCAGCCACACACCAACAATAGAACGCTACTCACTCACGGCAGGGGCCGATAAGCCACGCTCAACTTCAGACACCTACCTAAAATATAGAGGGAAACACACCTTTGACTTAACAGTGCTTGGTCCAGTAAACTGCAGGTGAATCCACCCCACCCCTCCTACAGTCACCCCATGCTCTTTCACCCCATCCCTCCACCCCTCCCACACCTACCGACACCCCACACCCTCTCACCCCCACCCACACCTACCGACACCCCACACCCTATCACCACCACACACCCCTACCGTTTTCCCACTGTCTCACCCCTCCACGTTCCTGCCTCCCACTTCTGGTGTGGCTATTTACTTTGTTACGTCCCCCCTTCTCTAATCCTTTCGAACTAGTCAGGGGATCGTAAACAAGAAGAAGAAAAATAAAATAAATAAAAGCCAACTTCAGTAATCTCTATTTATTCGCCACAAAATACAACATCTAACATTAACCCGCCACCACATGGAACACAATAGGAAAAATACACAACTATCTACAACAACTAAAGCACTTAGTACGACTACCCTACTTGTCCCTAACCGTCTAGCCTAGCCTAAGTCTAAAACATGTCGTGGCTTTCCACTAGCTCACAGAGACGACCCCATGTCTGTCTCCCCTAAACCTAGCTATCCGAGACGTCCGTCCGTCTCCGTGTGTGTCCCCCGAGAGTCTGTGTCGAGTGTGTCTGTCGAGAGAGTCCCCCTAGTCTCCGGTCTACCCTCCTAAAGTACTCAAGTCGTCCCTCGCTAGTGTGGGAACCTTGTTAATCGAGCCTGACCCCCAGGTCAGGTCAGGTCAGGACATGACCGTCCATCTCGGCCCTGTGCGATCTGGAAGGTTTTCCCAACCGTAAATCACGAGTTCTTGGCCACGTTAATAGCTCGGACCCCAAGACACCAGGTATGCATCGCCCACAGCGTGGTAACCAATCCGGTGTGGCCGTCACGGCCCAAAGGTTCTCACGGCCTGTGCTGGCCAGTGCATTAACATGCCTAAGCATTTCATTTTAATTACCTGGCCCTCCTCGATGGGACCAAACCCAGGTAAAGTTCACTTGGGGTCGTAACACCCCCACCCTTCAAGAAATTAATTCGCCACCACATGGTGAATTAATTGAACATCTCTTACTAGACAACCATACCAATCTCACAATTCCTCAAAAGTCCCAGAATAAACCTAAATGGGACTAAATCCATTTAACATAATCATTACTAAAAAGATAAGAAACGTGGATGATTTAGTCACAATAACAAGTTTGACTAAATACCCCAAACACAATGTCATCAAACATAGACATCAAAGTAATTAAAACAGCAAATCTGCAACACATGTGTCACTGTCGCAAATAATGCTAAGATTGAAAACCAACAGTCTTCGTTTTACTGATAGTTACGTCATCAGTCAACAAAACTTGTCAATACAATTAAAAACTGTCACGAACTCAACAGCATGTAAAACATCAATAACAATTTTTTTTTTTTTCAAACAAGACATGTAAAAGGTACATTCTTTAAGCCTAAAAACAGTTCATTTTGATTAGAACACTTGCATCCTGGGAAAACATGAAACAGTCTATCTTGGGAACAGTTCTAATAGGTTTGAAACACAAAGGTACACATTGTCATTATGTTTCCGTCTTGCGGGTCATCATGAGTCCGTAAATATAAATCTTTAGCCGAACTTTATACCGGCGCAGCACAATTTTAGTGACAGAGTTATTGTCCGTCCACAACAACAACAACTCGCACATAAGGCGTGGTTTCACAGGACTGCTTGCAATGTAGCCATGTTTTGACACGATGTTTATCCTGAACATCGAGTCACACAAAGAGGGAACAATTACATGCCCCGTCTCCGTGAAAGCGATGGGGTATGCGCTCGCATGTACGCACCCTCGGTTGATGGAAACAGCGTGACCCGCTGAGGTCACCGTCTCCAGGTGGTTGGTCTTGACCGGGTCGGTCAGAGAACCGTAAATCACCTCCGTGATAAGGGGAGGGAAGCCTGAGTTAGGCTCAACTCCTAAACAAGAGGTAACAACTACGCTTGTCACCGACGTTGACAAAAGATTCGTCGTCTCCTCAAACTCGGGATGTAGAACACCATCCGCGTGACCTCCAGGTGAGGTCATGGCCTCCAGGTTGCTGGTCTTGACCGGGTCGGTCAGAGAACAATAAATCACCTCCGAGATAAGGGAAGGGAAGCCTGACAATAGATTCATTGTCTCCTCGAACTCGGGATGTAGAACACCATCCACGTGACCTCCAGGTGAGGTCATGGCCTCCAGGTTGCTGGACTTGGTCGGGGAGAAATCAAACACTGCTGTGATAATGGGAGGACAGCCCGTGTTAGGCTCACCTCCAAGACAATGGGTAACAATTTCGTCTGTTACCGAGGCTAGCAGAAGATTTGTTGACTCGTCTACCCGAAGGTGTGGGTCACCATTCACATGACCTCCAGTTAAGGTCATGACGCCTTCAAGACCACAAGTGGTAAGGTCTTGATCAGATACAGTTACTGGTTCAGGTTCAGACGAGGACAGCCTGTTCTCATGGGTATTCACTCTCTCGGTGGTTTCCGTGATTTCAGCGGTGGTTGTAACCACTGGTTCTGATATTGACTGCCCCTTTTCATGACTGGTCAACATCAGAGTGGTTGCCGTTATATCATCGGTGGTTGTATCCACTGGGTCAGATATTGACAGCCCCTTTTCATGACTGGCCAATAACAGAGTGATTTCCGTGATTTTATCTAAACCAATAACTTGTTGCTGACTGCCTTCAGTACTTGTCGGCAGACAACTTTCGACTCGTAAACTATCAGCACG